TTCCCCAGCCAGGCTGGCTGGGGGATTCTGGGAGTTGAAGTCCACTCATCTTAAAGTGGCCAAGTTTGGGCAACACTGCTCTAAGTTAATGCCACCGTCTGTGTTTCTGGCTTACCGCTACATGTTCTGTTGTCGGGGTTCAAAGAATAATGAGCAGGACATCCACAGACAAAACCACCTATGGGCACTGCCAGGCAGAGGTGGGAGCAATGCCCGTTGCTGGAAGCACATTCATTCCAACCTGCTTGTCGGGATGAATGGAAGACAAGGATGTCCATCACGTAATCCAGGTGGTTTTGGATGATGGTCCGATTCTGTCCGCTGGTCTTATTGGCACGTTCAATGCTACGTCGGCTCCAGTCTGTCCAGTAGATGTAATCCTGGTACTGAGTCAGGCCAAAGGGATGCGGTAAATCATCTGCTATAACATCACGGTCAAGGCCTGGGTTTGGGAAGGGAATGGAGAGAGAGAAAGGTGGAAGATCACTAGATGTATCACCTCTACAGGCGATACCTAACACCTGGGAAATTATCTATGTTGCTACCAATGCCCTCCCTCAAGCACTCTGCTTATCCCTTGTGTACAAAGCAGAATATCTACAGCTTAGGATATTATAAAACTTGTAAATAAAACACAAAGTGGCCCAAACTATCACACCTTATTGGAGAGAAAAATGTGTACAGTTGCTAGAATATAGGTGTAGAAAATATAATCTACTTTTAATCATAAACATAAAAGTCAATCTACCTTCTTCATAAAAGCAGCCTATAATTTAGGCTGCCTTGGGCATCTTGTCAACCTTGGTGGTGTCTGAGAAACCCTAAGACCTGCATCTCTCTCACCAGGAGGCCACCAGGAAATTCAAGGGTTGAAGGACACATCCATATTGTTTTCTTGGCAACAATATGGAAGTGGTTTGGCACTGCCTTCCTCTGAGGCCCTTTTCTAATTTCCAAGCCCTAAGAGTCCCTCGTGGGCTCCCATCCAAGTACTGTCCCAGGTCCAATTTTGCTTATCTTTTGGCCATCAGCTGAGCCAGAAAAATGTCTTAACTAGTGCGTGCCCAAAAGATATTAGCCTGATAACCGGTGTGCCTGCAGGGAGAAGGCATTTCTTGAGCGGAGCCCAGCAATGGAGAAGGCCTGGATCACTCTGAAGAGTTCAGACACTGGAGTCTGGAGAGAGTCTTCTTGGGGATAGTGTGGCCCCAAACTGTTTTTAAATTTAATTTAATGTAATTTTCGTCCTGGCCCTGCCACTATTCGGAGTGTGGCACCTATCTGAAAAAGGTAATTTTTTTCTGATGATGGAGCTTCATTTCCCACTTCCAGGAGACATTGTACAAGGTTCTATTTTAATCTTTTACTTTTTGTGTATTTTGGAGGAGGCCTACTTGAGTTCATGGACCTTGGTAGTTTAAAGACCTTGTTTGGTAGTTATCAGGTGTTTGTTTTACCCCTTCAACCTCCAATAATAGCACGGTCAAACTGTCCACCTACTTTTTCAGCAGGAGTGCAACCCCATTCAAAACAGGATGAATCTGTTTTTAAGGACAGTCTCCTACTGAGCAACAATTCCTGTCTATTGCCTGGATTTAAGTTCACCTTGCTCTCCTTCATCCAGCCCACGGCTCTACTGCCTTCTGCCAACCATCTCCAAGGAAGCAACTGATTTCCCTGGTGATGGGTGGCAAAGAGCAGTAGAGCTTGATGCTATCAGACCCAGATGGTTCCTCGCTCCAAAGCTTCAGATGACCTTTCCCAGCAACAGCATACAGATGTTGGCCAGTACAGCTGACCAGAGAGGATCCTAAAATGTCAGTTTTAGATAAATAACCAGTTCTTCTTTCTGGGTGAGAACGAAGAAGGAACTTCTCTTCCAAAGCCTGTGTGCCTCGAGTGGAGGGCCAGACAATAATTTTGGGTGAAAATGGAGAACTGGATTTAAGTAGCAGCTCTGCATAATCCTATTAGGGGGACCCTACTCAGATGCGGCCAGAGGTGTGAATTACTGTCCCACAGCAGTTCCACGCAGATGCTGAACAGCATGGAAGACAAGTCTGGTAATAGAAGAGACCTTGGAAGGCTGGAATCACTTTCCAAACCATTAAAAAAATCCCAGCTCATTAAAATGTTAGGGAAGAAGATTTTCAATGTTGCTGAGTTGTCTATGTCTACAATACCAATTTTCAGGCATTTTCCCTCTCTCTCTTCCCCTTCACTTTTAATTTTACTATATAAACTCAGTTGTTATTCCAGAGCATATGGTTAATGGTTGGATAACACTGATATATGAATTTAAATCTGTATTATTATTTATTATTTCCATTAGTACTTTTGTTTATTTTGAAAGCAGACCCACAAATCTATATGATTCTGGCTGAATGAGGAATGTTAGTTGATGCTCCCAGACAAGCAAAACTCACCCAGCATATTTGAAGATTCGATCAGGTTGGTATCCAAGTCAGTCCAGTACAACCTTCTTTTAACATAATCAATTGTCAGACCATTTGCTCGCCCCACGTTTGGCACCAAAGTACTACGTTCACTACCATCCATGGCTGCTCTGTCAATTTTGGGCTTCCCACCCCATTCTGTCCAGTACATGAACCTAAAGACATATCAAATATTCCATGTTTATCTCATAAAGATGCACAAAGAAGCAGAACATATCTGAATGATAACACTCAAACGCATTATTTTGAACAAGATTTCGAAATCATTTCCCTTTGACACCCTAAACTGGAAACTCAAATTTATATTCTTACAGGCATAAAGATCAGTAAGCACCTAACTGTCTCAAACTAACTTAACATTTGCAACGGTAAAATGACAACTCCAACTTCCTTTGATCACAGTTAGGCACCCACCATTTATATTTCCTAAGATGACACATAGAGACGTTGTGGAGTCTTGAACCATTATTGGAAATAAGGATAAGGATAAGGATAAGGCTGGAAGTTGGTGCTTTAGGACATGTTTTAAAATACCTTTTAAAAAATACATAAATAAAAATACATAAAAATAAAAATCTCTTATTTATTTTAGAGATAAAAATATCTTAAAGATCTCTCTTTAGAAGATAACATGGCGATGGGAGCCTTGCAGGGGCCAAGGACGGTGTCCATGGGCCCAACTCTAAGAACTCTGGAATTTGGATTTCCACCAGGGAGACCTTATCTTCAAATCATGCTTCATCCAAGGTATTATCTGTCTTGGAAATGAATTGATTTCACAAGGCTGTTGCAAGGAAATATTGCTGCCAAAACAACAGGCTGCACTTTCAAGCACAACACACTCAACTGCTTCCTTTCTGAAGCTGTAGCCACTAACTGTAAGTATCTCCACTACGTGTGTGCAACATCGCAGATTTGGAAGCTTGCAAAATGTTAATATACTGAAGTAACTCCATGCAGATACTGATGCACACCAAGCTAAACAGATTTTTAAAAATATATGTATGAATAAGACAAATAGCACAAGGTAAACAATATATATGCTGATCAAGATTTCAAAATGTCCTCCTGCAATTTAACAAGTCTATCAAATGTAGTCTATTATTGTTTATTGTCTTGGGTAATATACGGCACAGTAATAATATGTAATACAACATACACAATATTAATTTGTTGCAACCTCTATCTCTTTCAATGAGTCTTAAGTGAAGTTGGGAAAGAACGATGCGGTAGGTCTACTATCTTAATCGAAGAGCGACTGGTTCACTCAGCCTGATGAATCTTCTTTCTTTTCAACCTCTCTTCTTTCCAAGTATGGGAAATAAGGAAATTTTTTTGGAGGAATGTGGGCAGAGTAAATTGAGATTCCGGAGAAAATTTACATCTGTTCCACCTCCAAAAACCATGTTTGGGAGCTCTGTCTGCTACTCATGGTGGCAGCTTTCCAACGATAGAACTTTCCAAGGGTGGCACCTTTTGGAAAGTTGCACCACTCTATCCACAGGTTGAGATTTCTCTATCATTATTTAGTAATATTCAACTTTCATGCATCTTACAGATAAGATAACATCCGCCCAAACTAGTACTGAGAGCAAAGGATTCTGGAAAAGATAGGCAAGTAATATAGTACTGCAGAATATATTTACATTTTTTACAGGCCAGGCAACGAATAAAACAGAAGCAACTCATTCTCTAAAGTATTTGCTTTCCTACTTGGTAGGAACTCTACAATTTTAAGATGAACCTCTAGCTCTATCTTGATATCTGCAAGGGGAAAAGATGCAAACCGAGCAGCACAAGGTTTTTGTTAAAGGCCTCCCATTTCCTTTTTCATCATTTTGTCTGAAACAAATATATTGATATTTTTACATTATTCCAGACTTACAATTCTGAACAGCAGTTTACATTGTTTTTAAGTACTTAGTAGCTTGGTATCTTCACTATGGGAGGGACTTAATCTTTGTGTGCAGAAAGGGACTTGTGTACAAGGCTATCTCTGTATCTGCTTATTTGTTTAAAACTTTGAATTGTATTTTAAACCACTTTGGTGCACTTGCATTGACTGGCCAATTCAGTGGGCTTTTAGACACATGTGAATATGTCACAAATTTAAATGATAAAATAGCTAAGAAAAATAGCAGACTGAAATGGAAATCCCGATTTTAAAACCCAGTGCATTATTGTATCTTGTTTTTCATCCTGATTTTGTTGTCCTAATGATTCCTTGGAATCAACCCTAGTCTAGGTAAGTTGTTCTTTCAACCAAATAATGGATTGTGTTGGTCTTTTTCTGTATCTGGAATCATCAAAAAGCTTGAGTCCTCCTTTGATTCAGAACTAGGCCAGCATTACATATGAATTAACAATGTTGTAGACGGGATATCTCTACGATAGAAGGCACTTCTGCCAAACACAGGTAGCAGATCACTGTAGAAATACAGACTGGAAATTATTGCCAATACCACTATTTATACCTGTATTTCCACCCAAACTAACTTAAACTAGTAGCTATCTTGCACTACTGTATTGATTTTTCAGAAGTGTTTTTCAGACTTCATAAAATAGTTTAAAAGTTAGTTGCTTAATGTGAAGAATTGAACAAGCAGCTCACCCTTCAGCAGGATCCAGAGCCAGTGCCCGAGGACTGTCAAGATCCTTCCAGACCAGAACTTGGCGATGCTGCCCATCCAACTTTGACACCTCAATACGATTTGTCCCTGTGTCCGCCCAATAGAGGTTCTTCCCTAGCCAATCCACAGCCATGCCTTCTGGATAATCTAACCCAAACTCAACCACATGTTCTAGAGCACTTCCGTTCATGAATGCTCTACTGATGGTCTGCAAGGAAGAGAAAGAGGGTGCATGAAAATTTAGGTCCCAGTGCTACCCACCAGTATATCTGACAAGGGATCCAAACAGACAAAGCAAGGATGCTCCTAGTCCAGTAGTTCTTGATCCGTAGGAGAACCAAGATACTTCCCCTGGGAATACACAGTATAGGGACTCCCCTTTGCTGAGTCTCTAGATGAAAACTGGAGGCTCACTTCAGTCTACATTTAAAAATACTGTTCAATCAGCTTTCAGGACAATGAGCAGGTATCCCCTTACAGTTCTTGCACAGCTCTATTTACAGCCAGCTGGCAACCTGCACACCCTTCTTGGCCCAGTCCAGCCTTCTCCTTCCAGATATCCTAGGACCGCAACTCCCAGAATTCCCCAGACAGCATGGCTTCCACAGTGGCTACGAACTGCAGTCCCAATGTATCTGGGGGTCACCACAGCTAGGTGCAGGAAGGTGTAGTCAGCTAGGGAGGGAGTTTTGCCTTCTAGGGCAGTGTTTCTCAACCTCAACAACTTTAAGCTGTGTGGACTTCAACTCCCAGAATTCCCCATGCCTTCTAGGGCAGTGTTTCTCAACCTCAACAACTTTAAGCTGTGTGGACTTCAACTCCCAGAATTCCCCATGCCTTCTAGGGCAGTGTTTCTCAACCTCAACAACTTTAAGCTGTGTGGACTTCAACTCCCAGAATTCCCCAGCCAACAAAGTTAAAGTCAGCAAACCATATCTAGAGGATATGGCTATTTCTGAGATCCCCTCTTTATTGTAGCAGGGAATCCAGATGCATTTTTTGCTCTCTTTGGAATGATACCATCACACACATTAGCCACGTAAAGTAGGCACTGCCCTGTTGAGAAGAGGAGAGAGAAGAGAAGATGCATTAACATCTCCAGCATTTGGACTCTACCTTTTTGCTCTCAGAACAGAGACTTGGGCTGGCTAATCCAACTTGATAAAATGCTCTTGAATCAACTTAGTAAAACATTAGAGAGTGTTTCTCAACCTTAGCAACTTTAAGATGAGTGGACTTCAACTCCCAGAATTCCCCAGCCAGCATGGCTGGCTGGGGGATTCTGGGAGTTGAAACCTCAACAACTTTAAGCTGTGTGGACTTCAACTCCCAGAATTCCCCAGCCAGCATGGCTGGCTGGGGGATTCTGGGAGTTGAAGTCTACTCATCTTAAAGTTGCTAAGGTTGAGAAACACCACACTAGAGATATGTCCAAGTACTTCTTTAAGCCAGAAGCCAACCTTGTCGAAACTATGACTGCATTACCTTCAACGAGATGTCTGTCCAATATATGCGATTGTCAGTCACATCAAAATCCAGGGCAGAGGCTTCTTTGACTCCTGTCAGCGGGATAGCAACGTTATTGTTGTTTGTTTCCAGAGAGATTCGCCTGATATCTGCTCGACGGGAAAACAGCAGGAAGGCTTCTGGGACGATGCAGGTCTTCATGTCACTCAGGAGCTCCAGGCCTATGGGGCAGGCACAGCGCAGTCCTTGAGGCCTGTACAAGCAGAGGTGGCTGCAACCCCCATTGGATTCTGCACAAGGGTTTGTACCTAAGGAAGCAGAAGCAAAATCTTTAGCGCTGCTCCACAGGTAACCCAGCTGGTTAGAAAAAATTGCAGCTTTTGCTTTGCGCTTCCTCCAGTACAGATGCTTCCCATCCTCAGGAATGCACCACTTCAAGTTGCAAGTAAGAACTGATGCTCAAAACCACCCCATCACCCCCACCAGATTAAATATATAACACCACCCCACCTTTCTCCAAAGCTGAAAGGATAAAACTGACATAATGGATATGATAGAATTAGAGACAAGCTACTGTTAAGATCCAAAAGGAACATCTTCGTATTTTGTTGTACTGTGTGAAATCCATACTGTTTTGTGTTATGATTTTATGACATTTTATCGACCCTGGAACTGGCTGTTGTTGGCCTCTTTGGGAGTTATGCTGCACGTTACATTACACCATCCAACAAACAAGGGACCAAGATATGAGATAACCTCAGTATGAAATAGCTTGATAAATGGCCAGATATAGACAAAGTTTGATAAGGTGAAACACGGGCAACATCCTGAAACAGACAGAACTGAAGGCATGATAAGCGAAGTCCAAGACCTCTAACCAAGATGACCAAGACCTCCATCCTGGTTGTGACAATCATGAGACAAAACGTTTGGCTGGCTATAGATGAAAATCAATAAGAGGACTTGAACTTAGAGGTGTAGGACTAAGTAGAACCCCAAGAAAATATAAGAGCATGGGACTGAGGCATAAGCCAGAGGGCCTCCACCATTTGCTGTATTGCTGACAAGTGGTCTTCTCAGCTTCCATACCATCTTTGTCTTTCACTGAGTCTGCATTTGAGCTGGCCAGTCAGTTGGGATCTACACCTTGATAACTTCTGGAGGGGCTTTACTGCACAACATTGGACAAAGAGCTTATGTTTCGGTCTCCCTAAACTGCTTTATGTTTATGCTGCTTGGGACTGTATTCCAAAAATATAATTAAGTACAAAAAATAATTTCATTTTGCTCTCCTCTGATTTGTTATCATTACTCACCCCTCAGCCACACAAAATTAACAGAGAGTTTCTGATGTGTGAAGGGATGAGAGAATGAAAGAAGTATGTCTGGAGCTGATAACAGCTTACTTTGCTGACACTTCAGCAACACACTTTTTAGCCAACTAAACTTGACAAGGTTATCTGGTGCTCTAAGCCCAAGAGTGCTAGTAACATCTGTGTGCCTTGTGTTGATGCTCTGGCTGGGAATGAGAATGAACATCTTATCAGATGTCTACAGGCTGGGACAGATGCAAACCAAGAGTCAAACTCAACACTTTTGTAAATGGGTGATCTTTGACTACAAGATGCCTGAGTTGACTTGGCCAACTGGGCTTGTGGGTTGCAACTTGGCTTGCTGGACTGTTCTTCCCAGCAGTTAGCCAGTTCACAAGCACCATACAATTAGCCTACCCAGCAAACTTATGAGGACTTGCTAGGTCACTTTTCCAAGTGGATGTAATGTTGACTAATAAAAAATTCAATTCTAGCTCCTTTAGGATAAAACAGTTAAAGCCCAGGTTCAGTAGAGGGTCCACACCCATGTTGAACAATGCCTATTTTAAACAGTATCTAAAGGGTCTGTTTTGAGAATTTTCAAACTCTCATAAATTCCTTGACATTAAATTCAGGGTACTTAAATGTATGTAAACGTTCACAAAACACTCTCTTTGGTTTACAGGAGAGGAGTCAGATGTTTAAGACGCTCACCAATAATCTGGTGGACATTTGTAGCCTTGAGGCCCATGAGATCAGGCAGCTGGTCAATTATGGTCTCCCTTTCTGCTGTCCGCTTATGAACCCGCTCAATGCTTCGCCTTTGCCAGTCTGTCCAATAAATATAGTCTCCCAGCAGGGTGAAACCGAAGATGTGAGGCAGCTTGTCCTCCACAAGGACTCTTCTGCTGGTTCCATCTGTGTTCATGACCTTCACAAGTACAAATACACACACATACACACACACATACACACAAGATGAGTCCGAATGCTTAAACTCAGCTTCTGCACAATGCAATTGTTATCAGACAATACAGTTCAATAAATCTCAAACTATGCCTCAAAAAATTAAAATGTAAGCTTCTGCATTAACTTTTAGTTCTAACTTCCGTCAAACAGCCTTCTTTGGCAACTTTTCCTTCTGCAAATTCCATTACACCTAATTGGAAACTATTAGACTTCACACCAGACTGTGGCATTAAATCTCAGCTCTGCAGTCAGGAACTAGCTAATAGCAGAAACTTCACAGACTCAGCTTAGCAAGATAAGCTGCATTACTGAAGACAAGAAAAAGAAGATATCCATAGGCGGAACACTGAAGCCCTGTATGTAGGCGTGACTCAGGATTTCAGTCCTAGGTATTTTCCTCCCACCCTTTCGAGGCAATGGACGTTGAGATGTTCTTTTTCCGGTCCTGAACGTGGGAGGCGATTTTAACTGGACACTAGAGGGGACTAAAGATTCTAAGCAGAAGGGAAAAGAATGAGGAAAAGGAAAAAACAAGCCTGTTCTTGATGTCAGTTAATACTGGGACTTATAAAATGACACAAAATGCTGTAACATTGGAAATAGTGAGATCTTTGAAGAACGGGGCCAGAAATTAGTAGCTAGAATACCGTCAGTATGTCTGACGTCTGCTTCTATAGATAGACTATGACCAAAAGATATTAATGAATGACAGATGTGGAACAAACAAAACCTGGATAATGCCTTTTTATTGGATTTACAAAAGAGGCTTGTTAAAGCCTCAAAGAAGCCTATGCAATGTGATAAAGGATTGAAGAGAGATCAAATCCTACGACAATATTTGAATGAACTAAAGATTAAGATTTTCAGAGGTAAAAGAAAGGAATATAAAGTTGGTTTATTCGATCAAGGTTAAAATAAGACATGCTTTTATGAAACTCTGGCAACTTTTTACAGACTTTTTGCTGACAGCAGGATTGAAAAGTAGATGTTTTATGGATTTGCTTATAGATAAGGGATGGGTTATGGGAAGAAGAGGTATCTGTTTGTAACCATATAGGGGGTGAAGAGTTCAATTTGTTTATACTTGTGATGAAAGTTGGAAGTCACTTCTTTATATAGTTTTCTTTTTCTTTATTATATTATATTATATTATATTATATATTATATTATATTCTCTTTCTTTCTTTCTTTCTTTCTTTCTTTCTTTCTTTCTTTCTTTCTTTCTTTCTTTCTTTCTTTCTTTCTTTCTTTCTTTCTTTCTTTCTTTCTTTCTTTCTTTCTTTCTTTCTTTCTTTCTTTCTTTCTTTCTTTCTTTCTTTCTTTCTTTCTTTCTTTCTTTCTTTCTTTCTTTCTTTCTTTCTTTCTTTCTTTCTTTCTTTCTTTCTTTCTTTCTTTCTTTCTTTCTTTCTTTCTTTCTTTCTTTCTTTCTTTCTTTCTTTCTTTCTTTCTTTCTTTCTTTCTTTCTTTCTTTCTTTCTTTCTTTCTTCTTTTTTTCCTGCAGTTTTTATTCATTTTTTCTCTTCTCTTCCCTTTCCCTAAGTTTAGTTTGTATTAGTTTTTACTACTGTAATCAAAATTCATAATAAAAACTATAATTTAAAAAAAAAGAATCAGGAGAGATGCAAAAATGTGTCTCCAACATAGGTAAAGAAAAATATCTGAATCACAAAATGAGGAAGACTTCTAAAATGGCACCAATTACTAACCTGGAATTATTACAGATTTAAAAGGCTACTGAATTCACAACTATGAATGGTGACTTCCACTACAGCTTGTCGCTTGAGTAACTGCTTCTTCTGGAAAACACTCAGGCCAAAAGGGTCCTAGTTACAGATTTCCAGAAAGAGGTCAGCTATATTTCAGCTCCTATTAGAGTTCCTACGACTTATTCCAGATGGCAACTGGGCCATCTACTACTCTAGTAGTACTACTGAAGTAGTTAGTCTCTCCTGCCCAATTTTACTCATTTTTTTCAGAAGGAAAAGAATGAAATTCTCTCCACCTCACAAGCTTTTTGTTATGGGATCAGTGGTCCATCAAAACGAGGAAGCAGATCCAGGTGCCTCTTCCTGCTCCCTGGGGGAAAGAGCCACTGCCCTTGGAGGGGAGTGGGGAGCAACTGCTGGAGAGGAGACCCCAAGGGCAGGCTTCAACTCAAGCAGAGGCAGGCCTGCTCTTTTGTCTGGCCCTCTGGGATGGGTTAGGGAGAGAGCCAGTGAGCGTGGAGCAGCGTCCGGTCTGGGACCAAGCATTACAGCCATACCTGGCAGATTTGGTGGGGGGCTGCAACCTGGCTGCTGCAAAGAAAGGAGGACTCCCTTCCTTCCAGAGTGCAGTCTAACCAAGGAAGTCTAGGGGATAGAGATGGTGCACCCTCCAACCAGATGTTCCCGCTCCTCTATCCCAGTTCAGTTGCTTACTAAGACATTTATTATCTATGATTTCCTCTTGGATGAAAGTGCTGACCTGGTATGTTTTACAGAGGCCTGGCTGAGAGGGAAGCAGGAAATCCTTTTCTCCTACTGTTGTCTGCTGAAACCCCCTGCTAACACCAGGTTAAAGGCACAGTCCTTAATTTGCTGGAGTGTTAAAGTGTTGGAGTAAACACAAAGGCAAGGGGCACTTTCAGTAATAAAATAAACACTCCCAAGTCTACGAATGCGGATATTCCTACGCAAATGAAGCTGAACCATAAAATAAAATCAACTCTTAAGGTCAAGAGCAGAACTCTTATTATCCCTGCACATCTCTTAATTTTTAGAATTCATCCACACTGTGCTACTATTTCGCTGTTTCAACAACCCCAAGTGACTTGCCGTTTGTTTGTTTTTTAACTAACAAAAATTATATGGGACACTGGATTACGTGACGCTACGTTGTCAAGAGTTGGCAGCCTGGAAAACCTCAAAACATATGGACGGCAAATGTTTTCAAACTGTAAACACTGCTTGGATTAAAAAAAAAGAAGAAGAATCAAAAGAATCTTCTTAAAATCCGTCGTTTTCCTCCTAGATCTTAACTGGTCAGATGAAACTTCCCCTCCTTGTGTCTTCTGACTCTGCCGAGAGGGATGAAGGCTTAAATTTTGCAACTGATTCTCAGACTACGGAGTCCTTGGTGCTCTCTGAGCCGGGCTGTTTGCTCGCAGACGTTTCATGACCCGACTACGTAACATCATCAGCGCGAGGGAGTGCGGGGCTTGCTGCCTATTTATATACAACTTACGTACAATTTATATATAGTAGCTACTATGTATAAGCTACTATATAAGCTACTGTATATAAGCTACTATAACCCTAACCCTAACCCTGAGCTACAGATATTCTCTTCTATGTGATTCTCAGACTGCATGCAGAACTTAGGGTACTTGTTCAGATTTACATGTACTGGGTTTATAGCCGTATTCCTTATTTAAATATACAAGGGTTTCTGCAGGAGATAAAAGCAGAGTCTTATTCTCCCACCATGCAGAGGCGAAGATGGCCCGCAGGAATGTCCCACTCAAACAGACCTCTTGGTCTACGGAGGCCAACCAGTTCTGCTGTGCTGGCTGGCCTCCATCTTCAGTTGCTATATATAAAAGGGTCTGTCTCTCACCTTGGAAGCATCAATCCTAACAAAAAACGAGAAGGGAGTACTAGTATTTCAAGATGCCTGCCAAGAAAGTAGCACATTTTGTAGGCTACTTCAGCTAAGTGGCTCCACTAGAAGACCAGACGTTACGATCACGCTGCACCACTCTTGCAAGGTGACCAAGTACCTATCAGAGTAAGTCCTTCAGATACAAAGACCCCCTTTTTTAGATGGAAACACAGTTTAAACAAAATAAGTTCACAAGTAGGAAATGTTGATTTACGAAAGGAAATGAGAATAGGCTTCAAGAAACAGCTGCTCGGTCTTATCCTGACTCCTGAGACTGTATTTCATATTCTTTAAATAGAGGTCCTGTCTAGCTAGCAAAATTCCTGGCTCCTCGCAGGGGATTTGAGAAGAAGAGAGAGCCAGGCAATGGAAGAACATTTCCATGCAATTCAGTGCGTTCAGACAGAAAGCCCTACATCGTCAATAGCTTTATGAGGCACGGCAGCTTCTCCAAGAAAAGCAACCCTGAGGTCTGCAGGCAAGAAACTCTTCGAAACTCTAGCCAGTCTCTCTAATGTTTGGGGCTGATTTTAACCACAGTGTGGATGGATTTCACCATCTAAGATGACTCTTAACTACAAGGATAAAAACAACAACAGAAAACATATGTGGCTTCCCACATCACACGCTAGGGTGACCAAGCTCCAGGCACACAGATGTCCTGCTTCAGAAGACGCTGGCAAGCAAAGAAGAGGAGGACAATTTAGATTTGCAGGGCAACCAAAGCCCCGAATGGCTCTTAAAGTCACGCATCTCTTAATGGCCGGGGGGGGGGGGTCCCTGCCAGTCAACCTGCAAGTCACAGCACAGTCTTTTTGCTGCTCCTGCACGGGCTTTTTCTGAAACTTTTTTTTTCCCACACCCTCTCATACAACGTCCAGACTAACAGGAACTGATGAAGAGTCCCAATAACCAAGAAACTTAAGCAGACAGTATCCTTATGTACCTGCTCCATTTTAGCAGCAGGGACAGCCAGAAGGGGGGGGGGTCACAGAAGCCAAGATGGCAGCCAAGATGGAAGCCCTGCCCCTTTGTTAGTGGGGTTTCCTTCTTGATGTTTTTGTGCCTCCCCCCCT